CGTCTAGGCCACACCGAGCGCAAGCTCCTGAAAGACCCATTCGTTGCCCAGGCTTATGGCCAAGTCTTCCAGGCCTACCAGAGGAACGGCTATATCCGGGAGCTCGCGAAGGAAGAGCTAGGTCAAGAGGTATGCTGGTACTTATCCCACTTTCCCATCGTCCGACCGCAGAAGACGACAACCAAGGTGCGGATCGTCTTTGACGCTGCAGCATCCTGTCATGGCCTCAGCCTCAACGATGCCATCTACCCTGGTCCGAAGCTCCAACGTGAGTTGTTCGATGTGTTGACCAGGTTTCGGCAAAAGCCTATAGCAGTGGGCTGTGACGTGACCGAAATGTATTTGCAGGTGTCGGTTGCGCCAGCAGACAGGAAGTACCTCAGATTCGTGTGGCGGGACCTGGATCCGGCCAAGCCTTTACGGCACTTTGAGTTCAACCGCCTGGTCTTTGGCGTCAATGCTGCACCATTCATCGCCCAGTACGTTGCTCAGCAGACAGCCCGGGAACATTTGGCGTCGCATCCCCTGGCAGCAGAAGCTATCCTCGCGTCCACCTACATGGATGACACGATGGACAGCACCAAAGATGTCGAACAAGGTCAGATTCTTCATCGGGAGCTAATGGATCTGTGGGGTGAGGCCAAGATGACGCCGCGCAAGTGGGTGTCCAACTCGCCCGAGCTCCTGAAGGTAATTCCAGCCGAGGCTCGCGCTACCCAGCTGGACTTATCCCAAGGAGAGCTACCATCCGTGAAGACGCTAGGAGTGTCATGGGACGGTCAGGCAGACTGCTTCTTCTTCAGCGTTCAACCGCCAGACCTCACCAACCAACGCATCACCAAGCGATTCCTCCTAGCAAAAGTCGCGTCCGTATTCGACCCGTTGGGGTTTCTGGCACCGTTCGTGACCCAAGCCAAGATCCTCATGCAAGAGAGTTGGGTAGCTGGTATTGACTGGGATGAACCGGTTCCAGATGGCATCGACACCAGCGCTCGCCAGTGGTTCAATGACCTGGCGAAGCTCAGTTTAGTTCGAGTACCAAGATGTCTCATCCCGGACGTGGCCAGTGGAGTGACGCTGCATGTTTTCTGTGATGCGTCGAGTGTGGCGTATGGTGCCGTGGTCTACAGCTCCACCGTGCAGCGTGGCTCTGAGGGAAACGTTCGTCTCGCTGGAGCCAAGAGCAGAGTGGCGCCGACAAGAACACAAAGTATCCCCCGGCTGGAATTGCTGGCGGCTGTGCTTGGCCTTCAGCTGGCCCGGAAGTTCAGTCAGATCATGACCATTGCCATGTCAGAGGTGATTTTCTGGAGCGACAGTGCGACTGTGCTGCTCTGGATTCGCAGCTACAGCCGACGTTTCAAACCGTTTGTGGCGAATCGCATCAGCCACATCCAGACTGTTACGTCGCCCAGTCAATGGCGGTACGTTCCCTCCAGCGACAACCCAGCTGACTTGGCGTCACGGGGAGCTGGGGTAGAGCAACTGGTTGCAACTGAGCTGTGGTGGCAAGGACCGGCCTTCCTGCAGAAAGAAGAATCTGAATGGCCAGCCAAGATCGTGGGTGGCCAAGACCCAGCTGCCCGAGCGGAAGCTCGCAAGGCTGCACAGCCCGAGGTGATGTCATTTATGTCCGAGAAAGTACCCAGCTTGTGCTCTCGGCGCTTCTCAGACTGGACGCGCGTAGTCAGAGTACGGGCTTGGGCAATTCGCTTCATCACCAACTGCCGTGGAGGTGAGGAGTTGAGCGGAGAGCTAACCGGCGAGGAGATGGACGCTGCCAGCCTTTCCATCATCAAAGAGGCACAGCACGAGGCATTCGCGGAGGATCTGAAGCTAGTGAAGAATGGTCAACCACTTCCGCTGAAGTCACGTTTGGCGAGGTTATCGCCTCGACTGGACGACGACGGACTATTGCGCTGCGATGGTCGCACCAAGCTGGCTGACTGGTTGCCGTTTGATGTGCGCTTCCCGATTCTTCTCCCCCGGAAACATCCGACCACCCGGCTTATTGTCAAAGATTGCCATGAGCAACGTCATCATGGCGGGACGAATGAAACGTTGGCAGCTCTCTCTGATCACTATCTTGTCGAAGCAGCACGGGAGGAGATCCGTGACTGGGAGAAAGACTGCATGGTGTGTCGACGACTAAAAGCCCGTGCGGGAGAGCAAATCATGGCCCCGTTGCCAGCAAAGCGATTGTGTGAGCCACTGAGAGCCTTCAGCAGGGTAGCCGTTGACTACGGAGGGCCGTTCGAAACTATGCAGGGGAGAGGAAAGACTCGCCACAAACGCTATCTGTGCCTCTTCACGTGTTTGCTGACTCGTGCGGTCCATTTGGAGATGGCGTACGCATTGGATGCAAATTCTTTCCTGAACGCCTTTAACCGGATGGCCAACCGACGAGGTTGTCCAATGGAGGTTCTGTCGGACAATGGAGGCAACTTCGTGAATGCCGACCGCCAGCTACGTGAGCTTGTTGGCCAACTGAACAATACCACCGTCCGGAAAGCCATGGCCTGCAGACGCGTGAAATGGAGTTTCAACCCGCCATTAGCTCCTCATTTCGGGGGAGTTCACGAGGCAATGATTCGAGCCGCCAAACGAGCTCTACACGCCATCCTTGGAGACGCATCTGTGACGGACGAGGAGTTGGTCACCGCTCTCAGCGGAGCAGAGTCCCTCGTCAACTCCAGGCCCATCACCTACCAATCGGCTAGTCCGAAGGATCCAGGGCCGCTAACTCCGAACCATTTCCTTCATGGCATGGCCGAGGGCCAGCTGGTTATTGCAACAACGGACGAGAAGGGGTGTCAACTGCAGAGACGTTGGAGATATGTTCAAATGCTCATCGACCATTTCTGGCATCGCTGGCTGAAAGAGTTTGTCCCACGGTTGAATCAGCGGATGAAGTGGCGACACCAGCGACGCGATCTGGCCGTTGACGACGTTGTCCTGGTGATGGATTCAAGCTCCCCGCGTGGGCGTTGGCCGCTCGGCAGAGTCACGGAAGTTTTCCCTGGTCCGGACGGACATGTGCGTGTGGTGGCCATGCAAGTGGGCGGGAAGACTCTGAAGAGATCCATCACTCGAGTATGTCCACTGGAATGTTAGACGGCTCTCCCTACATGCCAGAATGGAGGTACTGCTCAGTGACGACCCCCATTAATGATTCATGCATTGTTTTTGTTTTTTTTTGTAGCTTCCTACCACTGAACTTGCCCTTTCGATTCACTTTTCTCTTAGCTTGGTACTGGTAGTTGTAAGGATAGGCATCATGCAACATCTGGGTGCATATTGCGAGGGGGAGGATGTTCAGACGGTAGTACGTAATATTTCTCTGGCATGGCATCACTAAGACTAGAAGTAATGGTTCCTTTTTTATTATTGATAGCTGGAGCAGTCCTTTCTCTGTCTTGTGCCAATACTGCAATAGTGATTCATGTATCAAGGCCTGAGCTACACTGTAGGCTGTAGTCTTCCCTGTCTCTCTTGTGGTTTTCTATTCATGAGGGCGATCTACAAAGTGGCGTCATAACTATTTCCAACTGGCCGTTCATGTATTACATGCATATACTTCTTAGCTGTGTGTTGTTGCTTGTTGCTGTGCATGGTCATACATTTGTATTGCATAGTATCATGGCTAGCTTTCGTGCCGTACAACAGCGCGTGTGCGGTGGCTACGCCTCTGCTGTTTTGCCAGCTGACAGTGCTGCATAAATTACTTCATCTTTGCCTTTTGTCTTCGGTTCTGTACCGACATGGAATGTTTTCGGTTTTAGTAGTTCCTTGGTTCGCGTTGTGTAGCTAGCTAGGCTGCTCTTTCAGGTGTAATTGTATTTGGAGTGAAAAGATAAGATAACGTGTTCCTTCGTGTGAACATATCCAAGAAGATTGACTTGCCATATTGAATAATTTTTTTAATAATTTTTTAAAAAGATCAAATATGGAGGACCGAACAGGTTCGTACTACACTGCACTATACACTAAGGCTGATAAGTATTAGTTTGATGCACCCGTAGGGTTCCCTGTAACAAGGCCATGCCTGTTGGGACTCCCCTAGTCAAATAATAAATACTACTACTACATGTACCAGGGGCGTAGCACCCGCTACGACTGGTACGACCATGGCCGTACCACTTTTCGAAAAGTGTGGTCCGTCCGGAACGTCCAAAACCGTAATAAAAAAATCAGGATCCATCGGTGCATATGCGCATCAGACTTTGACCTTTTTCTAGACTCGTACTCGTAGATCTGCCATGCATCTGTGCATGTCCATGCACGTCTCTTCTGCCCGTGAAATAATTCTATGACTTATAAACTGTGCCAGAAGTGTGCCAGAAGTTCCTAGAACGCAGGATTTTGTGTCTTTTTTACATTTTCCCGGGGGAGGTCCCCCCGACCCCCCTCCAAAATGACCATCGGCCGGAACGAACAACACAACTGTAGGCAGAAGCACTTATGACTAACACGATACACAAGCTTATCGAAGTTACTCACGCGGGGAATTGAAAAGCACCGGGAATATTCATTAGAGAAAACGCTAGGTAGTCGGTAGAGCTTCGGGAGTGGGTACTCAGAGCCAAAGTTGGGCGCCAATGTTGACAAAATATGGAGTGGGTATAACACTAACCCCAGTTACAGGAGATACCATAATAAATAATACTGGCACAACCAACAAGCCAACACAACACATGGCAATGCCGCATCGCGGCGCGCAGCTCAGGCGACTTGGCAAACTAACAGTCTGGTCATCATGGTCATAGTATACTACTTTCTGAATTCATGAAGCTCGAAGTGACTTTCGTCCTGAAGTCGTGAAGAAATAAAAAAGTGAAATCCAAGTATTTTCGCACCGTGCCACAATGACGTCACAGCCAAGGAGTCGTCAAAATGATGGGCCCTAGGCTATAGCTAGCTATAGCCCTGGCTAGCTGTCAGTCACCAGACATAATCATTGTCTGACTGAATTGAATTTTTTTTATTGTCCTCATGTTGCAGTCGCATGTTTTACTTTAGACTGCAGGAATTGGGTGCGTAGAATACCCTGAGGCTGAATTGCGATACGTCCTTGGCACAGGATGGACGCGAGCCCTGAAGAAAAATGCCAGGGAAGTGAAGGTGAACAGGGCAAGGTTTGTGACCAGAAAAGCAGGAACGTCGTCTCTTCAGAACTGAATGCAGACGACAAAGAAAAGGACAGCATGTCGCAGGAGGAAAGTGGTGCTACTCGAATGGTCCAGGATGAGCAAGCTGATTCTCCTGTTGCTGATGGTGCTGCCGGTGTTGCAGACGGTAGTCAATCTCCAGAGTGTGATGGTTCTCTTGTTGGAACAGAGAATTCAACTGCTGGATCTAGCGAGGAGTCTTCTGATCATGATTATGCCCAAATATCAGATTCGGAAACTGACGCGTCCATACTGGAACGTCTTTTTCCTGAATTCCCCAGCTGCGACGATGGGGATGAGGATGATGATGATGATGACAAAAACACCAGCGACGAGGACATCGGGGGTGGCGCAGCAGAGCCTGATATCCCTGGCTGCACGGAGGACACGCGATGTCCGGCGATGACGCGGTGGAGCACTGCGTACGACCTGCGACGCCGCCACCTGGGCCTCTGCAGCGCTTCGTCACTGCGGCGCAGAGCCATGAGCAGCTACGCGCTGGTGCGGCGACTGGACAAAGAGCGCGAGATAGCAGGTCACGAGGGCTGCGTAAACACCCTACACTACAGCGAAGACGGAGAGGTGCTGGCGTCGAGTGGCGACGACTTGAACGTGATGCTGTGGGACTGGCGACGAGGCAAGCGTACGCTGGCCTTTGCCAGCGGGCACAGCAGCAACGTCTTCCAGGCCAAGTTCATGCCCAGCTGCCTGAACTCGATGATGGTGTCGACGGCGCGCGATGGCCTAGTGCGACGGCACCTGCTAACCCCGTCGGGCGACGTGACATCCAAGACGGTTGCGGAGCACGACGACGCTGCTCACAAGCTGGCCCTGGAGCCGGGAAACCCGCACACGGTGCGCTCGTGCGGCGAGGACGGCAAGGTGTTCTCCATCGATTTGAGGACGGACGAATGCGAGCTGCTAGTGCAGAGTATGGAGTTGCGCAGCCCCCGGCACGCTCGTCTCTACTCGATCTTCACCAATCCAGTTCAGCCGTGGTACTTTGCCGTGTCTGGTTCTAGTCGAACCCTCAGCGTCTATGATCAACGGTACATCACCGACGATAGACCGGTATGTGTTCCGGTCTGATGATATGTGCCTGCAAGGTAGCTCAAGACCAATTAATTGGTTCGAAGATTGGTCTGTTTGTTTTTCTCTGTCTTCGGCACCTCTCTATAGATGTATGAAGCAAGAAATGGCCGTTTTGGTGCGGTATTTGGGTACCATTGGGTATCCAGTATGCCACTCTGAAAAATATCGGATTTTGTGATTTAGCGGAAATTTTAGGCGACTTCTCGGTTGGGTCTTCTTTGTTAGATAGCTTTGCGTATCCCAATATCATGCTCTTGTTCCTGTAGAGAGGCTGTACTAGTCACACACTCTCTCTCTCTCCCAACTACCCCCGCACACAACCTCGTTGCAGACCAGCCAACACACACGGCTCTGGGTTGTAATGAATAGTTACGATAAAGGCTTAGACTAAAGTTAGAGTAAAGAGCAAAAAACCGACAACCGGCAACACCTCGATCCAACCATCAAGAACCTCATTTCTCTCCCAACTGCAACTACTAGAACCACTTGTCACGCATGCAAGCTTAGCATTGTCACCATCATTGGCGCACGCTCGCGAGCGTGCACATGCGCACGGTAAACCGTATTTGGCGCGCAATAACGTCATGCTAGGAGGTAATGAACTAATGATCATTCATGACACCGACAAGCAGACAAGTAAACATGCATGAGAATGTCCACAATGCACACAGCGAGGAACAACAGCACACAGCACACTGAGATGTCACCTCGGGACAGTCATATTGATTATTACAAGGCATCCTGAACAAAGTAACACATCTCCACAACAGCCCCCCCCCCCCCCTCCCTCTGTAATCTTCCGTAGCCTTTCGCAGACGGTGAATTTCGCGTTAAAGGGGAAGTTAAGCCTGAAATCAAATTTCCACCAGCTGTAGTCTTCGGGGTGCTGAGTTGAATGGTCTTGGTCCGAGGAAGCTGAGACGCTCCCTTCCTCCTTCACTCCCAATCAAACTCGCCACTTCTACCGAAACTGGGTGACTGCGCCCTACTAGATGGGAATTTGTATGAAAAATGTCACTAAAAGCACCATTTCGTTCTTATTAAAGCACGGATGACCGCAATTAGCCCATATGTTGTAGTCTTTTGGACTCTGAGTCGACTGGTTTTGTCCGAGAAGGCTGCGATGCAGCGTTCGGCCCTTATTCCTCATCGAACATGGTTGAACAAGCGGTCACGTGCTCCTGCGTACACCAGTCACCTGGTCACCGTACCTGCAGGGTACAACTTACAGCCTGTTTGGGCGCGTTCCTGTCACTGAAGTTAGGGTTGGTTCACATATCGCCCGTACGCGCCGGGAGTCGCCGGCGGTGGGCCTCTTGGGCCTCTTGCGGTCGGCCTCTCCCGACGCATTGCGATGTGAACCAGTGCAGTCGTAACAAAATCATACGGTAAAAAGTCGCTAGGGATCACCGGCAAAGTTGGGCAATGCCCAACTCTTGCGATCTGCCCCGGCACCGATCCCGTACAATTTTGACCAAAAGTGGTTTGTGGACCATTCGCGCCGGAGATCGCCGGTGCCAGGACCCAGACTTTGTCAGAATTTCGAACCAAGACTCGTCCTAAATTTTCCTAAATTGAAGCTAAAGATTAGGTCTGTTCGCCATTCTTGTAGTCGCTTCAAGGTGGCAAATTAAATCAGCACCAACCCGTCCTTCTCGGATGATCTGCTTGACTGTTTTGCAACTTATGAGACAAATACAATTGAAACAAATAAAAATATGATGGATAGTTCTTGTGACTTCATCAACGTTTGCATGCATAATTTCGACACCAACACTTACTGGACCGCAATAAAATGTGTAGAAGTAGTTTCATGATCTCCAATAAAAGGTAGCATCGAGTGGCCATCACCGAAAGACCTTGAACTACTGAAGAAGCAAAGAATTCAAGCTTCAATTGTCAAAACTGTTGTAGCATTTGAGCGCATTCTGTACTACTGTAAAAGCCATATATTATAGCGAAGTGCTAAATCTAACGAGTTAACGAGGAGAAATCTGTCGTTAAAATAGAAATCGTTATACAGAAATCGATACATATATTGTCCTATTGAGCGTTGAGAATGAGCGAGAATCGTTAACTTTGGTACACGTAAACTAGTCAATCTTGGGAAATCGTTATATATGCGCCTCGTTAGAATAATGGCTTTTACTGTATTGTGTAGTAGATTTGGTACTCGAACCGTATGCGGGACGGATCGGGAGCTGGCTCACCGCTGGTGCTTCCCTTTGAGTTGAACTTTGGTGTGAAAGTTGTAGCGGAAGGGTGGCTCGAACTTAGAATGTACAGATCCCATTTGTGCTTGGCGAGGTTGTACCGTCAGACCTCGCATAACCGCACACATCCGTCTTCCACGAAAATATCCGGATAGGCGAGGGAACCGGATAATCGAACACACATACTGTATGTGTGCATGGCATATGCTGTAAATCGGTAACCAGCGATTTTCTTCCAGATGGCGAGGGATCCGGATAAAAGAGGACCGGATAAGCGAGATCTGACTGTAATGTGCTCTCTGCTTGCTTCGCCAACGTAGGAATGATTATCAATTCCTTGTTGATCTTTTAAAGGTGTGTGTGTGTGTGTGTGTGTGTGTGTGTGTGTGTGTGTGTGTGTGTGTGTGTGTGTGTGTGCGCGCGTGTACACGTGGGTACGCACCATATGTGTCTCTAGGTCCAGCTCTACACGGTGAAGAGCATGAAGGAGCACGCCACTGTAACGTGTGTAGTGTACAGCAATGACGGCAAGGAGCTGTTAGCGACATACAATGACGAGTCCATCTACATCTTCAACACGGAGCTGAGTCGGACTGTGCCTGTACACCGCTACACGGTACGCTTAACTTGGTCACTTTCTGTGCAGATACCGTCACCTATAATACCATATACACATGCACACACACGCGCACACAGACATACATACATACATACATACATACACACACACACACACACGCACACACACACACACACACATACGTACAGACATACATACACACATACGTTCAGACATACATACACACATACGCACACACACATACATTGACCTTGACCTTGACACACGTCGCCTTGATAGGTTACACGGTCCCCGTCAGGGGAGAGGGGTGGAAGAGGCTGAGGAGCAGCACTTCTGATGGCGCACTAGATGGCGCACGCGCACACACACACACACACACACACACACACACACACACATGTTCACGAAGTGGGCGAAACGAATATCCAGGCGAACCCGTTGCATATCGATGGTCCCCGGGGCCTGTAGTCGAGGTGGCGTGAATTGTTTTTGAATCGCTGGAGAAGCGGGGGGTTGCTTGGCACAGACACACATAGAGTGGAAGGATGAACAAACCATCAGATTGAACACAATAAAGCCTTTGTGAAATGTCAGTTCAGCTCATGCTCTTGGTCACAGTTCTAAAACTAATCTCTCCTCGCCGCCTCTTTACTAACAATCAGATTGACATGAACTTTATCTGAACACTCATCTGGAGTCCCAGGCTTCCTTTAGCTTCACCATAAAAGACAAGCGCCATAGAGGGCCTATGGCGCCAGCAATTCACTGTTTCCGTAAATACTTCGTGCACAAGTGGTTCTCCACCTGTTCTCCACCAGGTTTGAGTGCGTCGAGAACAGCACCGCGAATCGTCCGTGTGCGAATTGTCCGTATATTATGTGTTCAGTGGTCCCTTTGTAACCCCGCACTATTTGTGCTACGGAAATTCTGCCGGAGAAGGGATGTGCTGGATTAGCATATCTCATGTATAGGCACAGCGGGCATGAATGGGACATCTTGATCACGGACGATTATGCTGGCTTCTGGAGAGTGGCTATATCATGTGTACCGGTATTTTCCTGCTTGTGCTTTTGTTCACCACAGTGGTTGGGTTCTACAGTACAATATCATGCAAACTGTTGTACAGTGCTGGCCAAAGAAATCCAACCTCCTGAATAAAATAGCGTCGCCGGGCGCTACGCAGCCCTAGCATACACTGGCCCGTGCATTCTAACGCGGCGCTACTTTATTCATGAGGTTGGATTTCTTTGGCCAGCACTGTAGTTGACCAGAAACCGACTGATTGAATACTCTTCCTGTGCTACCATGACATTGTATATACCGTAAAGTCTTGTATAAAAGCCGGGATTGTTCCTATGACTTTCTTGGTGACATTTTGCAGGCTTCTATATGAGACAGGCTTCAATACAAGACAGGTATTTCTATGTATGTCAACACTAAAACCAGGCTTATGTGTGATTTGATGGGCCCAAAATTGCGGCTTCTATTCGAGGGCGGCTTCTATTCAAGTGCGGCTTTTATACAAGACTACGGTATACCCGTAGTGTTGCATATTAAAGCCGGGATTGTTCCTGTAGAGGCCGATGTCAAGGCTAGGTTTCTACTCACATCAGGCTTCTATTCAAACCAGGTATTTCTATGTGTGTCAACATTAAAACCAGGCTTATGTGCCGACAATAGACACCCTTAGCAAACAACGTTATGTTGTAACGGTATTACCGTAAGGGGGAAAATACCGTGATTTAGGCTCGACCTTTAGCAAGATGCACGCTATTTTTAGAACGCTGTTGCCACGAGAATAGCTTTTACTTCGCGCGGTACAACCATTTATGTCACCATATACGCGATACAAGGTGAAATGCGTACGGACTATGCAATATTTGGCCAAAAAACGTACCGTTGGTCACAACGATAAATCAGCCCCCATAACGTTTTTACGCTGCAGCTTCAACGCTATTTGGGTGATCAAGGTACGAGCACTGTAAAACAAATAGCGTTACCGTTGTTTGCTAAGGGTGTCTAGTGTATCTTGAAAGTCAGGCTTGTATTCAAAACAGTCTTCTATACGAGACAGGCTTTAATACAAGACACTGCGGTACACGCATTGTACTTCCTCTGGCAGCTTAACCCACTTGGCTCATTGTGAATGATGTTCCAGTACTGTACTATGGGTAGGTGTTTATCAAACATGTGCTCACTTGTAGGATGTACATCTAGCGTGTTGCATACTGTCGATATTTTATTGTTGATGCATGCAGGGTCATCGCAATAACGACACCATTAAGGGTGTCAACTTCTTTGGCCCGAATTCCGAGTACGTTGTGAGCGGCTCGGACTGCGGGCACGTGTTCATCTGGGAGAAATCCACCGAGAAAGTCGTGCAGCTGCTGAAAGCTGACGAGGTGGGTGCGGTGAACTGCCTGGAGCCCAATCCTCAGTGTATGGCGCTGGCCACCAGCGGTTTGGAGCACACGGTCAAGGTCTGGACGCCGCACGCCAGGCGGCCGACGGACATGAGCGGGCTCGAGGCCGTGACGTCGCGCAACGCCACCACCCTGCAGCACTCCAGCGCCTGGCTGGTGAACGTGCTGATGGAGCACCGCATTCGCAGCCTGATGAGGCATCGGCGCATGTACGGGAACCGTGCCGCTGCTGCTGGCGGCGTCGGAGATGCTGCTGCTGCTGCTGCTGCCGATATGCTCGCCAGAGGCGATGAGGACGACAGCGACGACGAGAATGGCCCGGGCATCAACTGTGTTCAAGCCTAGCGACGTCCGTGCCGGTCTCGCCTCGTTGTATAGCTACAGCTGCGACCGTTTTCTGCTGACCATGTTCTGCTGACCGCTCTGTGTCGGCTGCCAGAGGTACTCACTGACACGTTTCACCGCATCCACAACCACCTCACCTGACCTGGCCTTTCGTGCCATTGCCCGTCGTGTCATTGCCCGTCATGTCTCTACTGTCTGCATCGCTGGGGCTATCTGTCGTGTTGCTCCTGCTGCTGCTTCTTGTTGTGCTCGCTGCTGGCCTCTAGTAGTCCTGCAGGTGTCTCCAGGAATATCACGTATGTAAACTGACTCTGTGGTCTTTGCTGTCGCTGCTGTGGCAGTTGCTGCTGGTATTGTTGTAGAGAATAGGATAGTTGACATCATGGCCAAACCATCGCTTGTCGATCCAAATTGCCAGCCTGACAACGTAGTCCACGAGTTTAGTACTAGTTTGTGTGAACGAACAGCTATGACACTCGCAGCTTGTTGTGCTGTTTTTAGTAGTGTTCTTTTTTATATCCTTTTTTTTAGCCACGTTGTACATTGTACATGTACCGTGCCACACATATGGCCCATACGGTGCCCTTCATTCAGATCAAGAGCGTTTTATCATTTGAAGTTTTATGCACACTGGCAAATATCAGCTTTTCTCACACTTTTGTTCCTGGCACGAACACATTAGCGGCAAACTAGAGGTAATAGCTTTCTCTAGCGCTTATCTTTTTGTCTTACTTATGTCTGGGTCCCCCACTACCAGCACACCAGCTACCTGACGATCTCCCGTGGAGTGAAGCTCGGGGTTTTTACTACACGTGTTGTGTGTCCTTATGGTGTGTATTTTCTTACATTGTTTCGAATTTTAACAATGTATGTCCACGTCAGCAGCTTCTCTTTACTCTTTTTTTATGTGTCTGCCCTGCGTACGTGCGTGTCCGATGTCGTTTCACCGTGTGCATGTGTGTGTGTGTGTGTGTGCGTGTGTGTGTGTGTGTGTGTGTGTGCACTGTGTGGAGTCTGTTTCCTGCTATACCCGGTTTACTCTGCTGCTTGAGTCATCTATAACTAACTGTCACCATACTTACTCTCTCGTTGTCTGCTTTCCTGTATTTTCGTGGGTTCTGTTTCTGTGTGCTTGTATGTATGTGTCAAATCCTATTCTCTCTTTTACTCCCGCTGCTGTGTTCTTTTGCTCCGCTGCCCTGGCTACCGCTGCCTTTGAACATACTTTCGATATCTGGATTTTTTTACTCTTTTTCCTGTTGTATTCCATTGCCTGTTGTATTGCTGTGACCATTGTTATTGTGCACACGCTCATAATCATGGTATCATACCGTATATGGCCGTAGCCAATCGAAAGATGTGAGGGTGATTAACTGATGTGTGGCCAGCCATGGCAAGCTAACCAAAGAGAGTGTGCCCATCCAATGGCACAGGTTTCACATACACGGACCCCCAGTCTGCCCAGCCAATGACCTAGGCTGTACATGCATCGTGGTCTAAAACAAGTTCACTCTGAGAGTACTAAGGTTTCCTATGAAGAATGATTGTGTTGTGGTCCTTTTTCAAGCGAAGCTCGCCAACACGATGCATCCAGAGCACATAAACTGAGCACGCAACTCTTGCACATGAGTTCAGGACAATGGAGTTTGTCGTTTACGTCGCCTTTGGTATCAAAACATGAGAAAGCATCATATCACAGGTCGTATTCAGGCAGTACGACACCGGGCCGCGGGAGGGCACAAGCAAGAGTGTTCATTTATTCTATTTTTACATAATGAACACAACCCTACCAAGGGTTAGGAAGAATTCGACAGGAAAAAGCGGCTACATAGATGGTAGGGGCCACCAGGAGCCACGGAGCCTGTGCTAGTGGGGCGCGCCTAGCTCTGCCGACAGACCGCCTCGGCTTCATTGCCACCCCACGCACCGAAGAAAGAGAGAAAGGGGGGAAAGGAGGAAACAACGGAGAGAAATAGAAAGAAAAGAAATGCAAAATAAAAGGATAACAAGAATATGTGAGTATATTCCTAAAGGAGGGACTGGCAAGAGGCAAAGATACATGATGAGACTACTGTTATGCTGTCTGATGAAGTGTTCTGACACGAAACTCGGAGTAACAGCGGAATGAGACTTGTTTGATTCATTGCTGTGTAATATTTGAAGAGACTACTGTGTGGAGACACAGCCGCATAGAAGATATACGGCCTGAGCTAAGGGAAAGCGAAGACACAAGGTGGAAAAGGAGCAGGAGAACACCGTGTCAGGTTAAATAACAGATGAGTAAAATAAACTCACGTGAAATGGTACTTGTGTTATAAAGCTTTAATCAAAAAGGTGTGTGTGTGTGTGTGTGTGCTCCAGTTTTCTCTGGCCAAAACCTTTCAGTAAATTCAGGACAGGTGTGTGCGTGTGTGTGTGCGTGCGCGCGTGTGTGTGTGCCCAAAACCACTGCGAGCTGCATAGATGGTGATTCACTGAATCTCTGAAGGTCTTTCCAGCTCGGGGGCAGCTGCAGGAGAAGGGCAGGGAGGGAGATTATTATTATTATTATTTACTTTTATATTAGGTACATGGGTCAATGGCGCAGTACGGGAAAGATGGGCAGGCAATTTCGCCCACTGTGCTTGGTTCGGCCCACGGAGGAATTTTCTGTGGACGCCAACTTTTCAGCAGATCCTCAGAAATACGGTTCAAGGCATGTACTACAAGTCTGTAGGTGCGTGAACTACACGGTGCTGGCCAGAGGAATCCAACCTTATGAATAAAGTAGCGCCGCATTCGAGTGCACAGACCAGTGTTTGTAGTGCTAGGGCTGCGTTATTTTATTCATTTCGAAAGCGAGAGGTTGGTGCCCACCGCACGCTTTGTATGGCATGCGTCATGTATCCTGAAAAAGGACATCAACAAGAATCTCTGCTGTTTCGTGTTGACCTGACCGGCTGCAGAGTCGTACACCGTCTTGACCTTGAACCCTGTAGTTGCAGATCGCTGCTCGGATGAAAGAAATTCCTAAAAAAAGGATGCAAGCGACGAACTCCGGCGTCTCCCCAAACTGTTGTGGAGCTCAGTGCGCGCCCCTGGTTTACAGCGGTGTATGCACTCTCGCTACAGTTCAGCGCTGTGGCTTCAAGCCAGAGCAGTGTCACCCAGGGACTGTGTTATGCCTGTTCCCCAGAGTTTTCTCCAGGGGTGACCTAACAAGTTAGTTTGGTGACTCGTGCCGTAGTAAGTTAGCACCACGCTGGCTGGGCTCAGGATGCATATGTTGATTCGGCAAATCTTGCTACTCAGACCAGAGCAGTACTTAGTTCTAGTGTCCGCTTGCCAGCTCATTGATCACGCATCTGCTCGATCCTCTCTGCAATAAGTACTTGCTGGGAGTCCCGCAGGGCTTTTATTAGGGATTTCAGTCACGTGATCTGCGGGGGCAAAAGTACCTTGACACGCATGCATGCTTTTTGAATGCCAGGCATGGCACAGCTCAGCGCGGGGTCTTCGGCGTAGATTTTAGGTAGGGAAAGTGAGTTTATCGCTATTTTTATTGGCGCACCGTTGAAGAGTAGGTTTCAAGCTTTCGTTTGGTGCCTCACACGGCGAATTCGTGCCGATATTACGCATCTCGATAGATTCTTGTAGATTTCAAAGTCGCTTTTGAGCTGTTTGCCTTGGTTCCACGCTCAAGCGGCAGTCAGAATCAGATTTTACGGCATCGATTTAGTCTAGGTAGGTTCCTTCAGACGGCATGAAGGGTCGCGCTCGGTCGCGGAAATTGTTTTGAAGTTGAACGCCATGACACAGTATGGAGGTGGAGAAGAAAGACGATTAACTTCCGTCGTCCTCTGTGTTCATGGTGTTGTCCCAGGCAGTTGAGGAATGGCCTAGTAGTAGTTGAACTCTCGTTGAGGGCGAGAAGCAAAAATGATACCAAGTAGAGTTAGCATAATTTGATTTTGCTAGTTGCAGTCGTGGATGGAAAGGATTTCGAGACGATGTGAAAATTGCCAGGAACAAAATCGGGCGTATCAGAGAGTGGAGAAAAAATTTGCTGAAGAACAAGGCAAGTGACGACCTCAGTGAATTACTAAGTCATCCTTTTGAACTGCCTCTCAATCAAATTGTAAAGCAGATAACCACACACTGAACGAAAAATCGTATATTGTGTCTGATTCTTGTCCAAGAAAGAAACATTGAACTGCAAGGAAAATTGTAGGCTGTAGGGATTGCAAATTGCATGAATTGTATAAGTTTGGAAAATTATATCAGTGTTATCAAATTTCCACACCTGAGCAGTCGTACGTGCTGAGGTGTGGACATTTGCAACAGTTCATGTCCATGCTGGACCAGCCGTTGATGTCAGTGCTGAAGCAACAGTTGATGTTGATGCCGGCGCAGCAAATGATGGCGCTTTGGAGCCCGCACCCGGCATAGCAGGTCTTGACCCTGTGTGTGGCACCAGACTTGATCTTCCATGTGTCATACAGGTGCGTGGTTGTTCCAGGCTGGTTTTTTACTGAACTTATCTCTTATAAATACTCACCGCTGGCTGGCTTCTGTGTACAATACTCAATAGCATCTAGTATGGTCGTTGTGCGGCTAATGTGCGTCTCTGACTCGTTGCAGCCGAAAACGGGCACTGTGTGACATCAGAGCTTGCTGTCTGCTCCTCTAGTTTCCCACATGCATACTATATAACTTAAATGTTGTGTTTGCCGTATTTCTGTCATATTCCACCTATTACCATGTTGAATTATGCGTGAAATATACTGTTGCTAGGGCCGTTGCTAAGGACGCCATTGTTGCGGTCATTTGGAATTTTGAAAAAAAACTTTTATCTTCCGTTCCGTCATAGCCAGGGCCATCCTTGATCCAAGTTTGGCCACGATCGGATGAAGTTTATTTGTTGCTATGGTGTTGCTAGGGAGTATGGGAATTCCATTTTGTGCCATCCTGCAGATCCAATTTGTATGTGTGTTCATCAAGGTTGGTGCGCTATGTTTGAATGCTCATAACTTTGGAAATACTGCTTGGATTCCGTTCAAATTTTCTGTAGACAGTCCTTACACATAGATGCGTCAGAAAAACTTGTTAGTTGGAGCAAAGCGCTGCTCAGAAAAAACCGCCTGAAATCCCTACTTTTATCAGCTTCGCTTTGGTGGCTGTGCGTCCGTGGAGGTTTCGCCACATGCACATGGCTTCGTAAGCCAACCTGTCCAGATCAGAACCTTGGCATTTGTGCGTCACTTCCTCTATGTCGCTGCTTGCCAGCTTCAGACCTTTGAGAGCCAAGATTGACCACTTGCTACCAAGGCGCTCCTCAAACGCTATTCGCCGCATCACCTGATCAAGAGGATCGCCATTCAACTGTGCTGCCGCTCGCTTGCGACGCAACACATCAGCCTTGTCCGAGTAGTCTCGGACAATTGCTATCAGCGACTGCTTGCTGGCACTGTCAGGAAGATAAGACACTAATTCCTCTAACAATTTCACATTGTCATCACGGATTAGGGCTTGATGTTCCAGGAATTTTAGGAATTTAGCAGCTCCGCCAGTTTGCTTTTCCATCTCCTCCATCCACGCTGCTTGTTCGTCCGGTTCAGCGACGAACGCAAGCAGCTTCCTCCACTTAGCGACATCATCCTCCGCCACGTGTTGAGCTACTTTCCGAAACAGCGCGTCTAGCTCCATGACCATGGAATACTCACACAGTCACAGCATCGATGCCTCGAATGAAACAACACAAAGCCGCACTGCACTACACGCTCAGTTCCTGTCATTCAAACCTGCAGCATCGCGCCACACAAGACAGTAGTAGTATACAGTCTAGCGCAAGGTTCTTGCGCAAAGGATGCTGCCGGATTTTCTCGTGCGTGCTGATGGCTTTATCATAGTTTTATGCGATATGGACACAACTATAAAACGTACAATGACCTAGTCGACCTCACACTTGTTGGACTTTGTTTTTCATGGTTTTATTTGGGTAACTCCCGAGGAAGTCAGAGCCTAGCGCCTTTGGCTTTGTAGCCTAGCCGGGCCTAGGGAGGGGAAGTACACTCGTGCGTAGATTCTATGACAGAAATTTAAAAAAAAATATTCATAGAATGAAAAAGGCAAGGATAATCACTGTCGACATGTCGTATCTACTTAGTACTTTGCATAAAATATATTTTATCTGACATACTTCCAAACAACTCCATTGCCATACCGACTAGTCGACTGTATCACTGGATGAGGTGTTTGCCAATACTACCAACACCTCGTGGACATAGCGAGCGATCATCTAGCGATCGCTTGCTCCCCAGAGCTGAAAGCACATCGGGCTAAATTTCATTGAATGGCGACGTGGTGGCGATGAGTAGTTTCCTGACCAGCCTGTACTTCTGGACCCTTCGTCCGCTGTGTGGGGATTCAGGTACGTGATACAAACACATGCAGACAATGCGGAGGCTTAGCAAAGCGAATTTCGCGTTCGAGTTCGCACTCCCAATAGCAATAGCAATGAAAGTCGAACTCAATGACGAAATTCGCGTTGTGTTATAATGGATTAGCAAACGGCTTGACGTTGGCATGCCGTATGTACAGACAGTCCAACGTAAAACAGTGTATAATTGTGTTGAGAAACACAACCAGTTCACAGTCAGTACAGTAGTACCGTAAAATCCCGCTGCCAGAGCCCCGTCTCTCCCATCCGCCCCTCCCTGACTTCTTGTCAGGAACGTGATTGATTGTATCCTCGTATGACTCTGTCGCAGTCTGTGATGCCGTACTGTACTGCAGACGCGTGCTCAACCCCGTTGGAAATGTACGCAACAGTGCCCACCCTCTTGACCAGGGATCGCACAAACCTTGCGTTTTGTCGGGTCTGTACGACTCCTGGCTCTTGACCTTTGGTCGGTGTACGAGATGCACGAACAGTTTTCGTAGGATGAGTACTTTTTCATGTAGCACTGAATGCGGCAAGTAGGACTCGCCCATCCGCCCCTGCCCACCTGAAGCGTCGAGGAGGTAGGGGCGCTCTGGCGGGATTTTACGGTAATGTTAAAACTGCTGACACGGGTTTTTCGATTAGCGTTCCGACTGCTCTTCCGAACGATAAGTGTGAATGTTCGCATTCTAGTTCATGAACCGAGAAGTGTCCGTGACCGCGAATGCAAAATTTGCGATGCTAAACCTCCGCAATACAAACACATACAGTACCATCGGGTGCTAAAGAACTGGGTGGGGGGGGGGGGGGGGTGGGGGTCAGCCTCGTAGCCTAGGCCGTTCTTATTTTCATGTACTACAGTCTATGCACAGTTGAGTCACCGTGTATACATTGGTATGCTGTGCTTGGTGAAATTCTAGCCTGGTCGTTCTTCGGCACGCGATAGCAGTGTAACGCTCGGTAGTTGCTACAGATGGAGACAGGCAGCTACAGTAGCCTGCATGCCGTAGACAGTGTACTGATCTACACTACAAGACAACAGTGACACTGGTGACACTGGGCACTAAACAACGGCCTGCCAATGAATATCCAGGCTAGAAACTAGTAGAAAGTGAACATAATTTAAGAAGGTGCAAACGAATACGAGTCGGAACATGAGACTTGCGGCCTCCAAGAGGGGTTGCGGCTTGAACCCCTCTTGGGGTTGCAGTTTGTACTGCGGTGTGCCTCTGACCCTGGGGATATGTCACATGAATAACTCACAATGAAAGAGAGAGGGGTCCGATTGGGAATGCGTTGTAACTCAAAGTTCCATGCCCAAGCAGTGGCATCAGACAAGTGAGTCTTGGGAATAGTCAATATAATGCAATAACTACTACAGACCAACAAGGCCAGCAGTCAAGGCTTGTTTGTCACTACTTAAAGTTACACGCTGTCGCAATCATCAGGCAACGTCTGTATTACGCTCTGCCTCTGCGGTGTTGAGCACTGTCAGCACACTGGGTGCTACTCATACGTGGGCTTCAAGCAGTTAGCCAAACCATTCTTGGTAACTCCGAATGATGCCCTGCTCTGGTTGCTGGCCAGGCGCGTGCTCGGCGATGGGCACGGGGGGCACGTGCACCCCCAACAATTTTCAATCTGGGTAATTGCAATTGTAATGTATGCAAAAGTGAAACAAAGTATGCACACGAAAGACAACACTATTTTTTCGATGCGTGACTCTTCATCGCCTTCTTCTTTCACCAGTGCAGTCAGTCTCTTCAAGAACAATTTCTTCCCCAGGCCATCGGCATATTTCTGGTGCTTTCCTGGAAGATAATTTCAAATGGTTGAGGAACTTGAGAATACGTCGAAGGAGCATTTTTCGGCTGAGGTGCACAGCTATCAGAATGATTGTCCTCGATGGCAATGCAATATCTTTAACAGCGTCCTCACGTCTTCCTGTCGCGATGTCCATGGGTTCTTGGAAAAAAGAGTTTGTTTTTGAGAAAGTACGACTTCATATACGTCCGAAGTGTCTTCAAAAAAAGCTTCGAAAAGTCGAGGCTACAGCCTTGAGTTAGGGGCGGTTCAGGGTATAGTTTCCAGAAATCGCAAAGAACCCAAATTTACCTCGGATGACAAGCTGCGCATGACGTAATGTAGGAATTTCGCCGGGCGCTGGGTCTATGCCCGTTGCACACTCTTGGGGGTTATGAACTCTTGCCGTGACCTTGATGTTCGTAACACGAAATCACATACACTTTGATGGGGAAGGCCATAGATATGGCATGTGACGGCACTATTTCCGCAACAAGTGACACAAGAGTAGTAAGATTTCCACTGAAACTCGCCAAAAGGGTGCCCGGTAGACCGAAGTGCCCGCAACTTCGGGGTCCGGATAACCGAGGTACGCATGTACAGCAAAACTCCCCAGATCCGGGCAGGTTGGGACCGAGCTCTGCCCGTAGTTGGGAATTGCCCGTAACTCAGAGCTTACATACTTACTGCACGCCAGAAAATATTTTAATACTAATCAATGTGACTGTTTTGGGGCTGTTTTTCGTTGAGAAGCCATTTTGTGACTCTAGATGGGTCAGAAAGGTGGGCGGACGTGCCCGGATTAGGGACGTCCGGATCTGGGGAGTTTTGCTGTACTCCGCTTCACCCTTTGGACTGCTCACCGCGGTGCGTCTTACTCGTGTCTGAATTGCTTCTCCAGGTCAGCTGCTGAGTGTGCACTCCTATCATGACAAGGGCACGGAAACGGACGACTTGTCGGTGGAGCTGCGGCGCCAGTGGGCAGAAGGTAATGTGACAGTATAATTATATGACTGGTGACTGGGGTCATTCTTTGATCACGTGATGTATCAGTCGATCGTGTGACGAGTCAGTTGGTCACGTGACAAGTCAGTTGATCACGTGACCTATCAGTTGATCACATGCCATATAAGTTGATTGCATGACGTATCAGTTGATTGCGTGACGTACCAGTTGATTGCATGACGTATCAGTTGATTGCATGACGTATCAGTTGATTGCATGACGTATCAGTTGATCACCATCGACGTATCAGTTGATCACAATTGTCCTGACGTATAAGTTGATCACACTACTTGTCAGTCACATGCATCTTGGTTGCTCTATTTGCCGGGTATCCAGGAGGGGGGGGGGGGGTAGAGTCAAGTACGTCAAGGTAACGCCATGCCAGGTGCTGTGCACACCTATAGACCTGCGAGCACTGCGATTGCTCACTGGTGCAGGGCACAATGCTGACCCACTCTATCCGATTTTACTCAGTAGCACTGTACATGTATGTGTGTGTGTGTGTGTGTGTGTGTGTGTGTGTGTGTGTGTGTGTGTGTGTGTGTGTGTGTGTGTGTGTGTGTGTGTGTGTGTGTGTGTCATTGTGTGTGTATGTCTGCATGGTTTCTATGCTTTCCATATGCGTGCATACACTTAACCTTTGCCAGGTCGCGGAATAACATGGACACCAAGAAACAAGAGACCGGACAAGCTGCGTGACGCCATACGGGACAGCGAGGTATGTGTACTGCCTGCAAAGAAAGAAATGCGCACACGCCGTCATGTAGGAATCGTCATTGATGCCGACAAGAACCAAATCCAAACCTGCATGAAGGAAAATCGGAAAGCCACTTGGTACCGCACCAGCTGCCTTTGCATTGACATAAACGGACACGACACCGTTGAGACGATTGGTGAGGTCGGTTGCCGCGGCGACGTATCGGGTATCGGTAGTGCCGGTGGCTACTGGTGACATGGTTTCGGACTCGTCCACCGCACTTCCCAATTGTCTTGATGTTTAGTCTGGTGAATATGAGTCATCCATTGGTAGTCATGTGTCTGAGCATTAGGCCCAGACAGATTCTGCTCCGCTCGCCTCGATATTTTTCTGGCACTAGAAACCCGATATTTTGCTCCGGAAAAACGTGCATTTTATCCACTTCCTGTACAGCGTTTCATAAAAACGCAGGGTTGGTTTCTCAACACGGGTTTTCACACACGTGTCCCTGGGTTATTCCAAAATCATGTCGATCCACAGGGAATCCTTGTGATATTTCGGTGACATGATTTCGTCCTGGGCAGTGTATCATGCTGAACGGGTAAGAAACAAGGAAATCCAAGTACAGTATCAGGCATTGATTTTACCCATTATCTCGAATTTTGCTCTGATTTTGCCGGTAATTTCCGCTTTTTCTATTCTTCGATATTTTGCCGAAAGAATTGCCGGCAGGATCTGTCTGGGCCTACTGAGCATCATTAATGTCATTCTGTGGATCCAGACGATGATAATTGTGTGCGTGTGTTTTTTTGTCACCTGTATGTAGTACTACTGTACATTATCAAGGCTTTAGAAGCAATTTCTTTTTGCCCGTATTCCACCTGATGAGAAGGCTATGCAAGTACTAGTGGAAGAGGTTTGAGGATGTTGATTGGGTGGAGCCTGATGCTTATTTTCTTTTCTGGAGTTCTAAAACAGCAAAAAACGCCAGATTTAGAGAGAGCGCTGACCCTACTTGTATTTTCACTCGGCCGGATCTTATCAAAAACAGTCGTGCAATTTGTGTAACGTTGTATGCTCAGGAACTGCTGGCAAGCCATCGTGTTATTCACGTGTACTGGAGAAGTCCAACAGTGTGTCAGGTGAGATCATCAATTTTAGCCGATTGGTGTAGATAAGCTCTACTTCTGTGTAGCGTGAAGGCACTCACACCTACATACACACATGCGCAGATGCACATGTGCACACACGATCACATGCACACACGCACATTTTATCACATACGTGCACGTACATGCAAACACACACACACACACTCACACACACACGCACACACACATGTACACACACGAACACACACACACACATACACACTACTACTACTACTACTACTACTACTACTACTACTACTACTACTACTATGTACAGCTACCCTATCGGGCCAGGCCGCTCCCAGAAGCGGGAGACAACGACAAGAAGAGAGAAGAGAAGAGAGAGAAATCGCAAAGTCAACAATATTTGGCATGGCGTTGCAAGTCCTGTGGCCTTGAGAACCGTCTTTCGCAATGCTCGCATTCATGACGGCAGTTGTTCCTGGCTGCACGTGACATCCGTTTCGCACGGTCACAGTGATGACGGCTCAAACCAGAACGAGAGCGGAAAGAGCGGCGACAAACATCACATCGAAAAGAGTCAGATTCATGGCGAATAGATACAGTGGGGACATCCGTGGACACAGGACAGCAATGCACAGCCAGTCCTCCAGCGCTCCTCAACCACCGCATGCACTTCATACATTGCCTGGCACCCTTCTGTTGTGACACAGGCAACTTCCACTGGGCAATGCACTTGTGTCGGGCCATGTCGTTACGGCGGCGGAAGTCTCTGGCACACAGCAAGCAGCGCAAAGGTGGCGAATCATCTGTGTGCGGTGGTGGCTCAGCAAGGAACATCCTCCAGTTCTATACACACACACACACACACACACACACACACACACACACACACACACACACACACACGCACACACACACGCACACAATATTGGCCAATCCATATGCCTTGTCTCTGGGCATGCCACGTACATGAGTGCATGAGATAAGTGCTACTAGTTGTCACATGCACTGCCAGTGACAGAACGGGCAGCGACTACCTCCTTTACACCGGGAGATGACGACCCAGCAACGTGGCCGTACGGGGCTCAGGCCACGGAGCTTTGAAACTCGCGTGGGATTTTCACTCAGCACGCAGCCCCGATAAATAATACCGAGTGTCACGAGTGTCAGGTCATTTGACAATGTGTATCCATTGACCGAGACCCGGCATACATACCGCTTGTGACTGATAGCTATGATGAACGCCTCGTTATCCGCTCTGTATCATCGGGCCCGTCTTGTTGTCCGCCCTCCAGGTCATACTACAGAACGGAGCAATATTGCACTATGGTCTGACATCGCACAGTGGTGATGTCGATCGTCTCGTCATAGACCGGACTCTAGTTGGACGTGTCGGTGGCCAATCAGAGATCCTGTTTGACGGTAAGCGAAGAAGGTAACTTTAACACTGTGCATGAGTGCATGTGTGCACGTGAACGAACACGCATCCAATTAGCGCATGTGCGCGCCGTGTGTGATATCTTCTCGTACGGTGCATACGGTGCACTGTGTAGTTTTATCGTTGCGGTTCAATCATTGCCTGGAGGTCTTTGGATCATGTCACTTAACCACTCTACAATGCGCTCTCTGCCCGACCCACTCCGCTTCCGATGCCCATCAGTACTGTAGCAGCGGTGGCAATTCCATAACAGATTTTGATATTGTCAGACCCTCCAGACAGCCAGGCAGGCGTTTTGCTCCAACAAGGCTCATCAGTGTAGGTGGAACATGTAGACGATGAATGATTGGAGGTGAATGAATGATGTTGTGTACGGCAGAATGGCACACTTCTGCACTTTGTTTTTCGTAGAAGTGTGACTCTCAACAGCCCAGTCTGTGTAAGCGTGTGGTAGTGGATCGTACTCTGATTGTCCGAGCGAAATGCGCGCTCATTTCAAGCCGAGGAGCCAACAACGACTGAAATACGTTTCTAACTAGCCGTTACCAGGCAATTGGTGTAGTCGCTTCACCTCCAATCTGTACACAAGTACTTCGAGTACACAATCTGCGGACACGAGTACACGAGTATATGTACTTGTACATACCTGTGTGCTTGAAGCTCTCAATGTGTGGTGGCATCTTGGCAGGGAATCACTTACCCTAGTATTCACCGTATGAGCGTGGCGTGAGTCATGGTCGGGCACACGCCCTCAAGGAGTGGCAAGTTGTTATTTATCCACTCTGCATCGTCCAATAGCAGCAAGTGCAGTTTTGATGGCTTGTGACAGGGTGTGAGTGTGCACGACCAAGGCTCTAGCTCCTGTAGGAATTACACACACCGTGCTGCTCTCATGCTGACGGGCAATCAAACAACGAGCAGCAGATGCAGAAGGCTCACACTGCTTCATGCACGGAGACTCCCGCGATTTAGGCTAAGACCTGTGGACAATCCAAAAATACAAAATACGAATGCGCTTCTAAATGCCTTGTTCCAATCCCTTGCCGTGTGCGTGCCCTGCAGGTGTTCTGTCCAACAATGGATCTCTCATCGTGCTCTCGTTCCTGGAGAAACCGCGTATCGCCCTCGTCTACGTCTCGCAGCGCAAGTCTTCCGCGCCGACCGGTATTGTGACGGAGCGAATAGAGAAGCTCTCGACGCACGGCGACATACGGGTACGACTACTAGCTGTTTGTTTGTTTGTTTTGATTTATTCTAATCTGTTGCCTCAACAGTACAATATGCAACTTCTAAGAGGGTCGAACAGGGAGCAAAATAACTGAAGGCCATCAGAAAGGGAGTGGGAGAGAGAAGGAGGGAGGGAGAGAGAGAGAGAGAGAGAGAGAGAGAGAGAGAGAGAGAGAGAGAGAGAGAGAGAGAGAGAGAGGGAGGGAGGGAGGGAGGGAGGGAGGGAGGGAGGGAGGGAGGGAGGGAGGGAGGGAGGGAGGGAGGGAGGGAGGGAGGGAGGGAGGGAGCAGACTACTACATGAACCAGCAAGCGTACATGTACTGTTGTGGGCATAGAAACCCGGTGGAGTGACCCGGGCTGGCTGGCGCCCTTACTTGCTTAGCGCGTACACACACTGTCACAGTGCAGCATGGACCAGCAGTGCTCACGGCTGCACGGCCAGCGCCCCCCCCCCCCTCCCCCCTCCCGAGGCTGCTTGACTTCGCAATGGATTACAATGTCCGCAACAGTACATAATCCCCAGGAGTGGACAGCTCCAGTCTCTTGGGTCTGCATGACTTCACATCACGTGGCATTATGATTAGTTGCCGGCTGTGCATGACAACAGTTAATTGGGAACTCTTAGCCTGGCACGAGGGAAACATGGATGCAGCAAACGGGATTGTGGTCTTTCACCACTTTGCTGGTGGGCTTAGCTACTCACCTCCCACCGCTTTAGGAGCTGCATCTGCGCCTTAGATCCTTGCAGGATGGTGGCGTTCCTATGGATGCTGAAAACTCAGCCTCAAGCGAACCGTGAATTTCTCTTTGCATGATAGCTACAGGGTTGTGTGTAACCCTGCTTTAGCCGGTACAGCTCTCTGGTGGTCACTTTGCACTGTTTGTCAGCGTAATCTATCCAACCATGTCCTGGTATGCACAACTCGGTTGCAGTCACATCACTGGATACAGACAATACAGGCAGGTATACTGGAAATCATGTAATTTGTGGTGTAACTTTAATTTCGGTGATTTCAGTAGAGAAACCAGGCACCTAAATTTAAATTACACCTACAAGGCACTAGAGTATGCACTGTATGTGAAGGGAACGCTGGTCACCTAATTCTAGATTACAGCTGAAACCTGGCAGGTGCCTGGCACCGAAATTTGAATGCACCTAAAATTACATGTTTTACAGTACACTCTTGGTGTGATGAGCTCTCACCACTGCATGACTGGCGGAAGTAGTTATGATTAGTCCAGCCGTACCATAGTCCTCCACACTTCGTGTAAGATATGGTGGGTACACATGACCTGCTCAGCACTAAACACCCGTTGTCAGTTCGAATGCCAGTGCATGCCTATGAGTGCGTATGACCAAGTAGGCCTTTTGGATATCAGGTCTTCAATAGTTATATGTCCTCAACATGCCAGTGCAACGCATATAGAAAAGATGCTATAATGGGGCAAATTGCCAAAACGAAGGTCAGAGCTGGAGACAGGGAGAGAGAGGATAGCTATGAGAGCTGCTTGCGGGTGTAAGGACTGTTTCAGTCAACTCGTCACTCAGTTCACACCAGCCAACACGGTTCAATCCAGCAATGGGATTAATCAATACATGCAATAAGAATAAACACAAGGAAAACGGCAATGAAAAATATCAATTGTGCACTCATAATCATGTATAAACAATTAAAATGAAACAATTCCAGAACGTTTTCGTGTGACCATCATCAGTGGAACATCGTCACATAGCAAGAATCACTAAAACAACCAGTTATATAGCTAGAGTAACATGAAAAGAAGCGTGAGAATGCAGCACAGCTAGCGGTTATGCATAACGCGTGTAGTGTGAACCTTTGCAGTGTATCTGAGAATGGTAGCAGTAGATGAATGTGGCAGCTGTGAGTGCGTGTGAACAAAAACTGGTGAGTGTGTATTATTTAAAAAGTGTGAGTGCTACAACATTTTCTTTTTGCTTGCATAGAACAGGGTCACGTGTGCGAATATATACAGCTTCCAACACCTGCAACTGCTTAAAGAAACGCGCGCGACAAATAACACTAAACCAGGAATCGTCAAACAACTTACGACAATCCGGACTGGACACCAAATGCTTGTAGATGGCAGACTTGCTCTTGTCGATGTCGAACTCCTCCTCGTCCGTATCACTCTCATCCTCCACTTCCTGCTCCCGCTCACCCTTGCTTTCCTCCTGACCATCCTGTTCATCCCCATCATCATCCTCCATCTCCATCTCCTCATGCCATCGCTTCTTTCTCCTTGACGTGTTCACTGCTGCGCCCGTACTTTCACCTGCCACTACTGGTTCCGCCTTCTCCATTTTTCTCAGTCGTGTCTCCGCTAGTCTCTGGCTTCTCCTCAGATTCGTTTTTCCTCCATTTTCATTTCGTTCTCCTGGTGATCTTTCCGTTACCGCCGTCAGGTTTGTTAACGAACGATCGTCCGGTGGTCTCCCATGCCGTGTTGTTGTCGTCAAGAGTGACACCAGATTCGTGTGTTGCGCTACTGTTGAGTCCGGTGTTGTATCCGTTTCCGGTTGTGTTGTAATACTGACAGGCGTAGTAGTAGGCAACGGGTGTTTTCTCGGCCTCCCACGCTTTGGCCTGCCTGCCCTGGCCGCTTTTGACAACAAGGACAATGGGACGTGTTGTTTGATACGTTCGGACAAGTGTTGAAGCGTCCTGCCAACATACCGACTACCGCACTGTCGGCATTCAAAATGATAAATGAGGTGACTCAAATGATGGGTCGGCAGGACGTCCTTCAACACCGTGAACGAACGTATCGTGGTGAAGACAGTTACTACATTCACTGCATAGTACGTCTTCTGGACAATAGACTTGACAATACGACTGACCTTTGTCGACTCCGCGCCTTTCCAAGGCAGGCACAGGAAGACACGACAAGGAGCCGGGCCGATTGTCAGTTCCTTACGGGGCGCATTGTTCGTGAGTAGTTTCGCTAACAGTGATCCAAGGAGCTACTATCTAGAGGCGTAGATTTCGGCATACCACCAACATCAAACATGAGAGAGCGAGTACTATGTGATTTTGAATTATTCTATCGGAAATTGAGTGGTTTTGCACCGGTATCGGAATCAAAGAAAATGGTGTGTACGGCCACAGTGCGTGCTACAGCCGAGGAACACGCTGACAAACCCGCTGAACGGAGAACATTTTCACTATCCCGCGAACACATGAAAGCTCGTTCAGAGCTGAAAAAGAACAATGATATCATCATCACTCGGCCAGACAAAGGTCGGGCAACAGTTATCTTAACGCGAATGGAGTATAATACAAAAATGGCTACCATACTGGACGACGGGTGTAAATTTGTGGAACTCGGTCCGGTTTCAACACATGATAAAACATTGGCTCGGGAGAAGGAAATAGTAACCTATCTGAAGAAACTCCGAGCAGCAAAAGACATAACAGAATCCGAGTTTTTCCGAATCAAGCCTATCGGTTCGGTTCGTCCGCGCATGTACGGCCTCCCCAAGATACATAAACCATCCTGCCCGCTTAGACCCATACTCTCCATGATAGGATCGCCCCAATACGCTATATCCAAGTGGCTCTGCGGCATGATACAACCGGTATTAGAGCATTATTGTAAACACAACGTTAAGGACACGTTTGAATTCGTTGAAATCCTTCGTGACAACCCTATTCCGCCTACTGCCCATATGTGCTCTTTCGATGTTGTAAGCTTGTTTACAAACGTACCACTAGACGAGACAATAGATATCTGCGCGCGAAGACTATACCACAATGATGATGACATTGATCTTCCATGGTTACCTGAGACAGCATTTCGACGTTTGATGCTGATGGTGACGAGTGGCGTAGAGTTCTCGTTTGGTGATGTTATGTATAAGCAGACAGACGGTGTGGCGATGGGGTCTCCGTTGGGCCCGGTACTGGCAAATGTCTTCGTTGGATATTGCGAATCGAGAATGGACAAAATAAAGTGGCCTCAGTTGTACGTTCGATTTGTGGACGACTCATTTACCTATTTCGAAACAAGACGTGACAGTGAAGCCTTTCTAGATGAGTTGAATGATGTCCACCCTGCATTACGCTTCACATGTGAACACGAGGATTGCAACAAATTGTCGTTTTTAGATGTACTCGTGGAAAAGACATGTGAGGGTGTTGTGACATCGGTGTATCGTAAGCCTACATTCACTGGTCAGTATATTATGTACGATTCATATTGCTCTTCGCAATACAAGACCAATCTAGTCCGAAACTTAGCTGACAGGGCAAGACGCATTTGCTCCGAGAGTAAACTGCAAGCAGAACTTGATTTCCTTCGCTCTGTCTTTCTTAAGAACGGGTATCCAGGATCACTGTTAGCGAAACTACTCACGAACAATGCGCCCCGTAAGGAACTGACAATCGGCCCGGCTCCTTGTCGTGTCTTCCTGTGCCTGCCTTGGAAAGGCGCGGAGTCGACAAAGGTCAGTCGTATTGTCAAGTCTATTGTCCAGAAGACGTACTATGCAGTGAATGTAGTAACTGTCTTCACCACGATACGTTCGTTCACGGTGTTGAAGGACGTCCTGCCGACCCATCATTTGAGTCACCTCATTTATCATTTTGAATGCCGACAGTGCGGTAGTCGGTATGTTGGCAGGACGCTTCAACACTTGTCCGAACGTATCAAACAACACGTCCCATTGTCCTTGTTGTCAAAAGCGGCCAGGGCAGGCAGGCCAAAGCGTGGGAGGCCGAGAAAACACCCGTTGCCTACTACTACGCCTGTCAGTATTACAACACAACCGGAAACGGATACAACACCGGACTCAACAGTAGCGCAACACACGAATCTGGTGTCACTCTTGACGACAACAACACGGCATGGGAGACCACCGGACGATCGTTCGTTAACAAACCTGACGGCGGTAACGGAAAGATCACCAGGAGAACGAAATGAAAATGGAGGAAAAACGAATCTGAGGAGAAGCCAGAGACTAGCGGAGACACGACTGAGAAAAATGGAGAAGGCGGAACCAGTAGTGGCAGGTGAAAGTACGGGCGCAGCAGTGAACACGTCAAGGAGAAAGAAGCGATGGCATGAGGAGATGGAGATGGAGGATGATGATGGGGATGAACAGGATGGTCAGGAGGAAAGCAAGGGTGAGCGGGAGCAGGAAGTGGAGGATGAGAGTGATACGGACGAGGAGGAGTTCGACATCGACAAGAGCAAGTCTGCCATCTACAAGCATTTGGTGTCCAGTCCGGATTGTCGTAAGTTGTTTGACGATTCCTGGTTTAGTGTTATTTGTCGCGCGCGTTTCTTTAAGCAGTTGCAGGTGTTGGAAGCTGTATATATTCGCACACGTGACCCTGTTCTATGCAAGCAAAAAGAAAATGTTGTAGCACTCACACTTTTTAAATAATACACACTCACCAGTTTTTGTTCACACGCACTCACAGCTGCCACATTCATCTACTGCTACCATTCTCAGATACACTGCAAAGGTTCACACTACACGCGTTATGCATAACCGCTAGCTGTGCTGCATTCTCACGCTTCTTTTCATGTTACTCTAGCTATATAACTGGTTGTTTTAGTGATTCTTGCTATGTGACGATGTTCCACTGATGATGGTCACACGAAAACGTTCTGGAATTGTTTCATTTTAATTGTTTATACATGATTATGAGTGCACAATTGATATTTTTCATTGCTATTTTACGACTGTTGTCTCCTCGTCGGTTATTTAAACAAGGAAAACGGTTCGGGATAATAAATTAGGACACTCAGGATCTGGCCGCCATTCTCGGGCTCTCTCTCTTGATCTCCTCGACCTTGCGCCAGGATCCGTCAATATGTACAATCACTACAACAAGTATCACGTGCGACCTACGTCGCTGGTAGACTGCATGGTACTACCCAGCGCTAGGGATAGGGCATGCCAAGTATGTGGCGAATGCGTACAGAAGGAACACAGTGCAGGTAGGTCTAGGATGCTTCTAGCATACTAGTATCAGCAGATTACTGAAAGCGCATCACTGACAGAGACAAAACATACATTACAACCAGAGTCATGCAACTATCAGCCATAGTTCAGTGGGACTACCACATTTCCCCCCTTTTCAGAAAAAGACCAGCGGTCTACCGATAGCGACTTGGCGTTTGAGTCTTACGCTGCGGACGACTAGAAGCTGGTTGAACCGTACTAGGGTTTGCGGTAACGATGGCAGATGGCTGAGCACCGCATTCGTGCAGTTCCTCGTGTACCTCGTCATCATCGTCGTCTGTAGCCACCTTATCGCCTGGCCGAAGCTGTACGGGCGGGGTGTGATAACCTCCTCGCAGCAGTAGATCACCCGGACGTTTGCCGGTAGTCGTGTTGACGGCTGACCGAACTGCTCGAAGTGCCAAACGAAGTGCGTCTTCTGTTCGTGTCTCGCCAGATTGTCGCATGTGTTGCTTCAATGTCCGGTGGAGACGCTCAAGTGGATGCTGCTGCGGCGTGTTGGGGACAGTGCACTCGTGACTGATTCCCCATGACTCGAGCTGTTTGCGGAATTCGTCGCTGCAGAACGGTGAACGGTTGTCGGCTATTAGGTGTCGTGGCATGCCAAACAGAGTGAATATTTGGTCCAGTGCCCCGATGAGGTCACTTGTCTTCTCGGCTGGCAAACGTACAACTGCAGGATATCGGCTGTATAAATCCAGAAGGGTTAGGAAAACGCTCTGCTGGTAATACAACACGTCAATAGCGACGGTGTGCCAGGCATGAGGAGGTAGTGATGTTGGGCGCTGAGCACCAGCTGGAACATCAGTGGCTGAAGTCGACATTGCCAGAAGACCTAACTGGATGGAGGCCTGTTCTCCTAATAGCGCGGGCACCGTGCACTGTGTGTCATCGACTACAAAGATAGTCTCAGTGATTTCGCGGCCCTGATAGCTCAGGTTACCATCAAAAACTCCCACGGCTGTTATGCGTTGCGTTCCCACGGGCTGAAGTGGGCATGGCGGCGGTGACAAGACGTACCCCGATGGGAGTGCCGACTTAGGGATAATCGAAACCCTGCTGGCAGAGTCCACTCTTAGCGACAATGTGTGTCGGCTGTCCAATGTTACCTGCCTCAGAGGAAGCGTGAAGGCGGTCTTCTCTGCCTGCACCCCGAAGGTTTCATAGGACTCTGGTGTCTGGGCGGACTGTACGGCTGGTGATGCTGCACCCGTTCGGAGCGACGATACGGCTGGTGCGGTCCGATTCTGTTGCGCTGATGCTGCGTTCGGCAACTGGGTCTGGGCACTGCGGTCCGCTCGACCAAAGTCGGAACGGCACACCGACGAGAAGTGTCCCTTACGTCCACACTTGGCACAGAACATATGGACCGCTGGGCAGTGCGGCTTGCCTGGAGCGTGCTTCTCCCCACAATATCCACAGCCGGATGTTGGCAATGTTGTGTGTCGGCGTTGATGGATAGCGGCATAGCTCACCTCCAGTACTGGAGCGTTGTTAGCACAGTCCTCTGCTAACACGACTGCCTGCGCCTTGGCTGCGGCGGAGCTCAAGTCCTGCGCATCGTGCTCCAAGACACTCTTTCGGGCACTGGCCGAGCTGAGCCCCCGTGCAAACAGGTGGACTCCCACAACTCCCAGTAGTTCCTCGGCAGTACGAGTGCTGGTCAGGTTGCAAACCCTCATGTCCTTTTGCACCCGCAGCCGAAAGGCCTGTACAGTCTCCCCAGGACGTTGCTCGACTGCAAACAATTCCGCCAAACGGGACGCTGCGCTCTGTTTCGAGCCGAAATATTCTTGGAACAATTTGATAAGATCGTTGTAGGGATTAGTTGCCGTAGTTGGCACTGTCGGGTAGCTCTGCCATAAGTAGTGACTTGCTGACTCGCCTAAATTGGCAGCTGCTGCCAAATACTGCTTCGACTGATCCTTCACTTCGTGGAGTGCAAAGCCAATCTCCAACTGACTACGCCAAGTAAGGAAATGATCGTTTCCCAGCTCGTGGTCCAGGTCAAGGCGGACGCCGACTTTTACTTTTTCTGCCATTTCCCACGTGCGTGGTGGAAACTACAAACTTCAAGTTCAACGAGTGACTTACTAAGAAAAGAATCCTGTTCACTGCGCCAATGTTTCAGTCAACTCGTCACTCAGTTCACACCAGCCAACACGGTTCAATCCAGCAATGGGATTAATCAATACATGCAATAAGAATAAACACAAGGAAAACGGTTCGGGATAATAAATTAGGACACTCAGGATCTGGCCGCCATTCTCGGGCTCTCTCTCTTGATCTCCTCGACCTTGCGCCAGGATCCGTCAATATGTACAATCACTACAACAAGTATCACGTGCGACCTACGTCGCTGGTAGACTGCATGGTACTACCCAGCGCTAGGGATAGGGCATGCCAAGTATGTGGTGAATGCGTACAGAAGGAACACAGTGCAGGTAGGTCTAGGATGCTTCTAGCATACTAGTATCAGCAGATTACTGAAAGCGCATCACTGACAGAGACAAAACATACATTACAACCAGAGTCATGCAACTATCAGCCATAGTTCAGTGGGACTACCACAAGGACCGGGCCCACGCCATAGCTTTCTTATTCACTTTCTTCATTGTTGCGGCCATGGCACTTCTCTTTGTATCTCCCAGGTCAACTATATCGACTTGCCACCGGCCAGCAGTGCCAGGAGAACGGAACGGCACGTCTCCGTCAACAAGGCTGCTGATTTGGTGAGTCATGGGTATGACCCTGTCACGGTCACATAATAGCTTTGGCAACCATTTGTTTCTTTGTTTTTGGTTAATTTTAGTTTGTTGCCTCAACAGTACAATATACATCTTCGAAGAGGGTTGAACACCGTCACATGATAGCTTTTGCAACTGTCACATGATTGCTTGGGCAACTGTCACATGATAGTTTTGGCAACCATCACATGATAGCTTTGACAACCATCACATGATACCTTTGGCAACCGTCACACGATCGCTTTGGCAACTCTTAGACACACATATCAACAGAGCACGTGCCAGCATCGCCAGTAGAAGGCGACAAACAGCTCACCCATTTTTTTCATGCTTCCACTATTGCCTTGTCACAAACATTCTACGTACGGGTGCACAGAGCACCTGGAACGATCGATTTGTGCCTGTATTTTCGCTGAGTGAACTAAAAAGACACAAATACCCCCCCCCCCCCTCCTCCTCCTCCTCCTTTGGCAAGAACCCTGCCCCTGCTCTCTTGGCTAGAACCCTGCCCCTACCCCTTTGGCTAGAACCCTGCCCCTACCCCCTTGGCAAGAACCCTGCCCCTACCCCTTTGGCTAGAACCCTGCCCCTACCCCTTTGGCAAGAACCCTGCCCCTACCCCTTTGGCTAGAACCCTGCCCCTACCCCTTTGGCTAGAACCCTGCCCCTACCCCTTTGGCAAGAACCCTGCCCCTACCCCTTTGGCTAGAACCCTGCCCCTACCCCTTTGGCAAGAACCCTGCCCCTACCCCTTTGGCTAGAACCCTGCCCCTACCCCTTTGGCTAGAACCCTGCCCCTACCCCTTTGGCAAGAACCCTGCCCCTACCCCTTTGGCAAGAACCCTGCCCCTGCTCCTTTGGCAAGAATCCTGCCCCTACCCCTTTGGCAAGAACCCTGCCCCTGCTCCTTTGGCAAGAACCCTGCCCCTACCCCTTTGGCTAGAACCCTGCCCCTGCTCCTTTGGCAAGAACCCTGCCCCTACCCCTTTGGCAAGAACCCTGCCCCTACCCCTTTGGCAAGAACCCTGCCCCTGCTCCTTTGGCAAGAACCCTGCCCCTACCCCTTTGGCAAGAACCCTGCCCCTACCCCTTTGGCAAGAACCCTGCCCCTACCCCTTTGGCAAGAACCCTGCCCCTGCCCCTTTGGCAAGAACCCTGCCTATACCCCTTTGGCTAGAACCCTGCCCCTACCCCTTTGGCTAGAACCCTGCCCCTACCCCTTTGGCAAGAACCCTGCCCCTACCCCTTTGGCTAGAACCCTGATCATGGTGTGCATGTGTATTGTGTACCTGGGCGGCAAGTCCTCCTGTCTCTCTGTCACTCCGTGTAGCTTGCAGTGTGGTGGCCCATCTCAGCAGAGGACGCCTGGCCGTGGGCAGGCCTGTCCAAAGTGCCGGAGAAGAGAGTCAACGCCTCTAATCTGCTGCTTTTCAGTCTGAGGTGGGTGTCGTAGGCACGTCCTTGCAGTGATTAATGACCTTGTTGGTCGGCCAATTCCTTGACATTCTTGTTACCCTCTATTAATCCAGTGATCGCTAGATAGGAGGTGAGCCTTTTCTTCTTTCCAGATTTAGAGCTCCTATCTGGATGTGAGTGCACGTCACCTTCCCTTACTCAACATCACGAATCACGATAGTTGCCGGCACTTTCCCCTTATTTTCGTTTCCTCGCCAGGGTATGTTCCTGTGCCTGGCTTTTGTCTCGTTGTCTTTTAACTGTTGCTCCGTGTGCGGGAGTACAGTCATCCGGGGGACGTATAAGAAACGCTCTTAGTTTGACGACACTATCGTTCGTCAGTGCCTTGCCATCATTTCTGTTGGATGGTGGCTCTATTGGACTAAAACGTGTAGTTCAGTGTTCTCTGGACGTCAAGATACTCATGTTGCTTGCTTTTGCCATACTTTGTGGCTGCATTCCCATTTACATTGCGTTGTGTTCTTGCCGACAGTTCGAAGGTGGAGCTCATCTGGCACACTCGAACAGACGCAAGCCCTGTAGATATTCAATTCAGGTATAGTGGTGCCGGTTAGTGTGTGGGAGTGTTCATAAGCTCTGAGGCGAACCAGTGTGCAAGGGTGTGTGTGTCTGTGTATGCATGTCTGTGTGTGCGTGTATGTGTGCGTGTGTGTCTGTGTGTCTGTGTGAATTCACATGCATGTCTGTACCCATCGGTGTATTTGAATATACCTTTTTAGAATGTGCCTATGGACCTGGCTATGCCTGTTGTACCTTTTGTACATGTGTGTTCCCCTGGATGTGTTCTGCTTGTCCTCCATGGTGTGCAGTGCAAGGGAAACGTACCACTTGCTGACAGTGGAGGGTGGTGCGGCTACTGGCGACGCTGGCACATGCTCTGTTGATATGTGTGTCTACGAGTTCAGCTCAAGCCACAAGGTAATACTGCATTGCCGCCTGCAGAAGACGCAGTCGAACCCGGCTCAGTATAGCATACCTCCAGTGGGCCATATCCCGCTGCCTAGGGGCCATACACCCCTGTACAGGGCTATATCCCCTGCCCGGGGCCATACACCCCTGCCCAGGGGCCACACACCCCTGCCCAGGAGCCACATACCCCTGTCCAGGGGCCATACACCCCTGTACTATGTGGCCATGATACTGATATAGCCATGTACAGTCCTCTCTTGTGTTGGGGAACATAGCCTCGTGCTGTGTGATCAGCCGTGTTGAGTAGACTACGAAAAGAAAATTTTGTCTCTGCTCATGATTGTATGCATTGCCGTAAAGCAATTCTCCACCACAACCTGCAGCCCCGTGTGTATACTGTGGCCATAATGGCTTCTGTTACGATCAACCATTACTCGTGTTTATTTCTTTTGCCATTGCTTGTTCAGGTGGAAAAGGTCCTTAGCAACAAAGTGGATCTTCCAGGTAGGTGACCTATCAGCTCCTTATCATCCCTCGCATTCGGCAAGGGCCCTCGCTGGAGTGCTGCCGGTGCATGCAGCAAACGATTCGCCGTAGGGACATGATTTATGACTTTGCTCTTTTGAACTCTTTCCTAACGTTTTGACTTGAAATAGGGGGCTCACAGAGAAAGGGGGGGGGGGGGGGCGTTGATACATGCTTGTAGAGAAACAGACATGCTGAAACCCTAACTGCTTTCTGATGACTCACCTTGGACAGCACTCTGAGATCATGAATAATGCCATAAACAGTCAACCCACAAGCAGGCAGTTGTTTATAATATTATGACTCCCTGGTCACGACTGATACAGTAAATATACACAGGGTGTACTTCGAAGTGCTTTTGTTCCTTCCTGTACAGAGGCCCTCATTCAAGTATTCTGTGGCTAAAATAGCAGGATTACATCTGTATTTTTGACATTATTAAAATTCGTGTGACCTGCTACGTTACAAACCGGAGTCCACAGTATCCTGAACATTGCATGGGTCATCCACATTCCCGTATGTTTTACGTGTGACTAAGCCTGCCACTGAATCAGTGCACGGTGTTGTACTGGTACGCGTTAGAGCAAGAGTACATAACCCCCAAGAGTGTGCAACTCCAGCTAGCTATGGGGTCTGCGACGGCAGAACTTCACATCACGTGATGAACCCGTACACATTATTTGCACTCTGTGCATGATTGATACAGGGTTGTACGCAACCCAGCTTTGGGTAAACTCTCTTGTGGTCACTTTGCACTGTTTGCCAGTGTAACCTTTTGAACCATGTCACGTGATGTGAAGTTCTGCCGTCGCAGCACAGCATAGAGGTTGTGCAGGCAGTTGCACACTCTTGGGGGTTATGTACTCTTGGTTAGAGGCATATATATGGTGTGCTGGCTGTGTTCTTTGCTCCAAGTAACGAGCCTCTTTTAAGGGCAAACGAAACACAATTCAATGCGCCGTCATGAAGGATTAGAACACAACACATTTCATTGCTGCTGCCTGTTGTTTGGATCCTGCCTGAGAAGTAGTATGAGGGAATTGTTGGAAAAAACCCACACTACACAGGACTCGGTGATGCTTCAGTACGTGTTACTGCTTGCGTGTGTTCATTGTGATCCTGAATAGGCACTTTACTAGCACACGCTCTGAACAATGACGAGAGTCGCTTGGCCTGTGCCTGCAACAATGGGCAGCTGGTGAGTTGCATGCGTACTCTTCAGCCTGAAGTAGTGATAATGTACCATACATACTCTTTTAAAGGGGAAGTTAAGGCAAAAAATAAAATTTCACCAATTGTAGTCTTCGGGGTGCTGAGTCGAATGGTCTTGGTCCGAGAAAGCTGAGACGCTCCCTTCCTACTTGAATCCCAATCGAACTCGCGCACTTCCACCGAAACTGGGTGACTGCGCCCTACTAGATGGGGATTTGTATGCAAAATGTCACTAAAAGCGCCGTTTCGTTCTTATAAAAGCACGGATGACCGCGATTGGCCCATATGTTGTAGTCTTTTGGACGCTGGGTCGACTGGTTTTGGTCCGAAAAGGCTGCGCTGCAGCGTTCCTCCTTTATTCCCAATCGAACATGGTTGAACAAGTGGTCACGTGCTCCTGGGTGCCCAAATCACCTGGTCACCACGCCAGCAGGCGACAACTTTCACACCAAGGTTCAACTCGAGTTCAACTCGAGTGACAGGACTGCACCCAAAAAAGGTCAAACAGGCTAGTAAGTTGTACCCTGCAGGCACGGTGACCAGCTGACTGGTGTACGCAGGAGCACGTGACCGCTTGTTCAACCATGTTCGATTGGGAATAAAGGAGGAACGCTGCATCGCAGCCTTTTCGGACCAAAACCAGTCGACTCAGCGTCCAAAAGACTACAACGTATGGGCCAATCGCGGTCATCCGTGCTTTTATAAGAACGAAACGGCGCTTTTAGTGACATTTTGCATACAAATCCCCATCTAGTAGGGCGCAGTCACCCAGTTTCGGTGGAAGTGCGCGAGTTCGATTGGGATTCAAGTAGGAAGGGAGCGTCTTAGCTTTCTCGGACCAAGACCATTCGACTCAGCACCCCGAAGACTACAACTGGTGAAATTTTAATTTTTGCCTTAACTTCCCCTTTAATATAAAAAGGAAGGACCAAAATGTTACGTTGTCCGTAGTTTGTGTCCAACATTAACAGTTATAAGCAAGTTTGTGTAAGTTGTATTGTCTTTGAATGTCAGTATCACATCAGTCAGTTTTTTCTTTTATTCAA